TCTTGTCTATTTCGGGGTGAGGCTAGTGAACAAAAACTAAAACAGTTAGTGAATTATGACTACTGGCATATTCGACAAGATTCGAAATTAAAAACTATCGGCTATGTTTTATTTATGGTTCATAGGAGTTCCTATGAAGTTAATTTTAGTTGGTTACAATCTGAATTAAAAGAGAATGGTCATATTTTTTAATGTGGCACTGTCACTTGTAAATTTGTAGCAGATTCAAGAGAATTCTCTGAATAGTATGAATTAGAATATGGTGTTGAAAAAAAAAATCTTATATTACAATTATTTTTTTATTATTATTTTTATAAAATCTTCTATATCCTAGACAAATCACACTGGTTTATACTATCCCGTATACCTTTTCAGCAACTCAATAGATAAATAGTATATATGGGTAAATATACATAACTTGTACTTTTACCATTCTTTGAACATTATTAGCTAATAATTATAAATTATCTAATACAAATAAACAGCATCAGATATTATAATATGGGTTTATAGTATGCTAATGATGGAAATTTAGTGTACGAGAATATCTAAAAGCATACTTATGATTACAATAGATAAATAAATATATATTGCTAAAGAAACAGTACTCAGTCTTTTATTATTGCACAATAATATTATTTATAGAGACCATGCAATTACTATATATTTTACTAAATTAATTTACTAATTTTCTAATACCGTAATTTAGCATTTGAAAAATACAGTATTAATTCATCAAGGACACCAAAGGTAGCGGATTTTGGACTATCGAAACAAATCGATGTTTATAACATCAAACTCAATTGATCATTGAATGCTAGCATATATCAAACCTTCATGTTTTATTAAACAAGGATTCTATGATAAAAGATTATATGCACTTTATATAGCATTAGAATAAAATTAATTTTCAATATTTCAAAACTTATTACTAACAAAGTTTGAATTGACATCATTTGTTAATTTAAAGTTAATAAAAATGTAAATGTTTAAATAGAAATAAAAAAAAAGTATAAATAAATAATATATATTAAATAAGTATCGATTATATTTATTCAGTGCTATTAATCTCATAACTACAAGTTGGCTTATTATATAAATTTCAAAATGAATCTTTAGTAAAACTATCTCTAGTTTCACAAAAAAGTAATTGGTAAAATATTCACATATTGTGACCTAATTTAAAATGAGTTAAATAAATATTCAGTATAATTATAAATGATACAAAATAATATTACATGGCTTAAAATAAAATTGTAAGTAATACTATTTTTCAATGAAAAAATTAATTATCATTGCAATTTTTAAGCTAGTTAACTGATTTATCTCAAAAATAAATGATATTTGCCCTGAATTTGTCAGTACCATTAACCTTCATGACTATAACAAAATATGTTTACTTATCGCATAATTTCTAAAATGAATTTCGGTCCAAATCTCTAGTTTCATGAAAAAGTAATTTATAATGAATTAAATAAAAGGGAATTTACATATAAGGGTACTAACCTTTATAACTACAACAGGATATATTTGCTTATAGCATAAATTCCAAAATGAATTGTTGGTAAAACCGTCTCTAGTATTTCTAGTTTCACGAAAAAATAATAAGTTAATAAATGTTTAATAAAAATGATATATAAAATAACATTATAACTTAAAATAAATTTTTGAATAACACTATTTTTCAATGAAAAAATAACGTTATCATTACAATTTCTAAACTAATTAACTGATTTATCCCAACTAATAGATTGTATCTACCCAGAATTTTGTCAGTGCTATTAACCTTCATAACTATGAGTTATAGCATAAATTCTAAAATGAATCTTCAGTAAAACTATTTCTAGTTTTACAAAAATGTAATTTATTTCTTTTTTATCAATCTATAAAGCAATATTAGCTGTATTTGCTTCATTAATAACTGCTGAAAATGATTTGTAATTTTAGTTAGTAATCTTCATATTAAAATTATACACCTAACGTGATAAATTTTCCTTATTATCAGCATTAATATTTCAGATAGCGATTTCTCTAGGAATATTATTAATTAAGTAAAAAAGCTGCTGATTTTGAATAACATCATATTATAGATAACAGATTTTTTTCCATTTCTACCTCCCATAGTAGTACTTCTAAAAAATAATCGAACCTGATAATAAGTTTATTAAAAAATAGTAATGCATGTAAGAATAATTTTAGTTAACACCTATATTACCTGTTGATGATTTTTTTTTTCTATGCTTGAAGTAGAAAAAGTTCGTAAAGAAAGACCTTCTGCTTTTAATTGTTGCATGAATAGAGGGATATGTTTTGCAAATACATGCATATATGGTATAACGTCAGCCTTTCTATAAAGTCCAAAATCTTGTGAAAAATTTACATGACCCTGAGTTGGATGACAAAAGGCTTGAATCCAATTTTCCGCATCGACTTTGTATTGATAAATTTCTTGATCAGAAAGTTGTGGTTGCTATAAAACATTATATAGTTGATAAAATTCACGCCACAATTGTTCAATATCTTTGCCATGTATGCCTGAAATTAGAGGTAGGATCCATAAAGTAAATATTCAGTTATGCAAAATTTGGGAATAGTCAAGAACTAGATTTATTAGATTGTTAATATTCAATGTATATTCAAGATTTGTTTAAAATTAATATAGCTATAATATTCAATAATTATTCAATACTTTACTATAGTTAGTCTATAAAATAAATCAATTATTTTATGGTACTTTTAATATGATAAAATTATTGATTTTATTTCATAAACTAAGATAGTAAATCATTAAATAAAACCATTATTGCATATTCCGTATACATTAACTACGAATTTTATATTCTTTTCTGATCATTCAGTAACCTAGCTATACTGGCTGGGTTACCAACCAATCATCATCGTCCATAAAATATAGCAATTATTGCATACATCGCATGCAGTAACTATATAATATTTGTAAATTCTTTTACAGGTAGTTATGAATATCTATATGAAATCTGATATTCATTCAATACAATTCGTGAATAACAAAATCTGTGAATATTTAAAGGATCTCAACTCTATCTGAAATAAATTGATTGATCAGAAAATTTTCTAATACTTTTTTTTTATCAGGGCCTATTAACGACATCCAATTCCAC